TATATATATATATATATATATATATATATATATATATATGTGTGTGTGTGTGTGTGTATGCGCGCGTGTGTGTTAGTGTTTATGTATTTATAGATGAAAAATAAAATGTTAAAAAATTAGATAAAATGAAATAAATTTTATGTATTACATGTGTTTATATGCGTATATATATTTATATTATACGTTATAGTTTTAATGGAACATGTGCGTTAATGGCGATGAATAGTGCGGGGTCAAAAGTTCATTCGAAGCGAGTGACCGTGTGACTCCATATAATTCGCTAGAAAACTAAGAGATAAAATTCATCTAGGTTCTTTAGAAGGGTATTTTTCCTGTTTTCATATATATATATATATGTATATTTTCATGTATATACATCTATGTATAAATATGCAAAAACTATGCATATATTTATTTTCTTCTAACAATGCGGATTTGTAGTAAACTACATAGGTAACGAACCTCATCCCTTTTGAGAGAAAATAGATATTTTTTTCGGGCCATGTGCTTGAAGACCTGAGCCTTTAGAAACTTTAACGAGATAATCGAATTTCATAGATCGATAGTTTTATATTCGCGATCCATTAGATTCGCGATCCATTCTTTCGTCTAGATATACCATATTTTCGATTTATTTTACTTAATGAGTTTTTCAATATTAAAATTGATATATACATATTATATAGATATGATATATATATACATATAAATATCTCAAGAATAAATGATCGGTTATATATATATATATATATAATGAATATTATCTATCATCTTTTCTTTAAATTAGCTTTATTATATATTAATATTCTTTTTTATAAATTCCATTTATGTAGATATATTACAGTTTGGCCTTCATCATTCTTTCCTAGCATCTATTATACACGTGTTGTGTGCATGGTTATGTATAATATAAATATATAAGTATATGTATGTATATACATAGGTATCCTACGTTTACAGGAGTGATCTAAAAATAAGTTATCGACTCGGTTTTATTGAAACGGCCGATTGTTTGTCTCCTCTTGGTTTTTCCTTGCAAGCGTATTTATCTCGTTTGACGAACTCTATTCATCGATCATACATGGTGATTTCTTTTAATCGTATGGGAAAATAAAATAGACGAATGAGATAGTTGATCCATGAAAATCATTAGAGAGAAAGAATTAAAGAGTGACCTTTATTTTGTCTTAATCTGGTAAACTATAGTAATAATAAAAAAAAGTTTTTCTTCCTATTAAACATTTTATAGAAGAGAAGAACAAAATAATATAATTTATTTAACCCGCTAAAAGATAAATTCTTATCACGTGTGTTACTTTATCATAGAAATATATGTTAAACTTTCCATATTATCAGCCAAGAGCGATGACGCTTCTCATTCTTCTTCTTCTTTTTATTTTCTACAATCTAAAGGTTCTTTGCTGCTGCGGTAATCGTCGCGTTTGGCTTTCTTTCAAAAAGACTTCTATTAAGTCCCATCAAAGTCCATCTTACGTTAGTACTTCTAAAATTGGACCCACTTTCTTTCTGTTTTGTATACTCCTTTTGGCAAGTGTAACGTATTTAACAAGTAAAGTTAATTGTTACAGAAAAAAAATTCATATTACCCATATTTTATATATACTAACTCTTTTAGTAATTCCAATGTAAAAGGATTATTTGATAATATTTTATGTTAGTTGTTACGAACAAAATTCATATTACATGTGTTTTACTAACTTGTTTCATTCACACGATTCTCAATAGTGAAGAATTGTTTTATCATATTTCGAAGGATGTAGTACAACATCGAGAAAACATTAAACATACAGAGAACCATTTTCCATGGAACTATCGTTACCATAAAATCGTTGAAGATAAACCTATGTGACTAGTGGGAATCTTGGAAATAACCGTTGGCAAGCATTTTCGATACCTCCCGGGGCCATACTGAACATAAAACTTCATATTTAACCTACTTGCGATTCTACGTCTTTCTACTGTGAATTTTTTCCTTTTTCTTTATCTTTTTGGAACGTTTATCAGTTTTTCTTTTACAAATAAATCTTTGACTAAAACGGGACAGTACATTTAGTAGGTTGATGTGTATTGATGGGAAAAAGAAAAATTCGTTGTTTTAATTAATCAATTATTCGAGATTTACAAATTATCAGATTTGACTTTTAATTAAACCAAATAAAGATTATTTCATTAGTTTTCTGAATTGATCAGCTGTATATTGTCCCATTGATAACATTCAAACTCTATATACGTTCGAATGATTCAATCGTGAGATAATCAAGTGATAAAGAGCCCGGATATAACTTGAACAAACGTTTCCGATAACATTATAACACGGTTCGAATGATTCCCGATCGTTTATTAACAGCTTCCAGGTTTTAATATGATTTGATCTTTTTTTATTGATGAAATTCTTGAAACGATCTTAAGATCGTAGACCTTTGCTGTTGTTTATTTCTGATATGAATTGGATTAACTATTTCAATTGTACTTATCGAATAAATTAATAGAACATTTATTAGGAATGCAATTTCAGTTCAAGAAATCGAGTTAGTAAATTAGAACAGATTTGAAAATAACCCTTGGTTGAGGTATGACTTTTATGAGGAAACAAAAATCGAATCATTTGATATTTCCCTTTATTATTAATAGATATATGAATTGAAATTATACAAGTACAAACTTTGATATATGATGTAAATATGAAGTATCGTTTATTCGTTTATCTGGATAGAATATGCATAAAGACGTAGATTTATTGAAACGTGTTGCAAAACTCAAAAGCCATTTGGAGGATCAAATACGCCAGTGAAGCAGTTTTCGATAGTACAGTATATATTTCTTTCGTTTCTAATACTTTTTTAACATTGAACGTAAATCCATTCCTATGAAGAGATACGAGTAAAAAAATAAAAGAAAAATAAAAGAAGAAAAAAAGGGAAGTTAAAAAAACAAGGTAAAAGACCAAAAAGCTTTTTTGGTCTTATGTAAAAGGGCATACGTTGGAAAAGCCCAGTGAAAAAGATGAAATGAGAGCACCAGCACTAGCAGCAGCAGCAGCAGCAGCAACACTACTTTCCCTTCCAATCGATTGACTTCCTTCCTTTGCTCTTTCCTGAACCGAGCCAATCGACAGAAGCGATTGAAACGCAATGTGAGACGTATATATAGTCTGATACTCACTTTCTATAAACCATATATCTCATTTCGATTTTTTATCCATCACAGAATTCTATTCTTTTGTGGTAGAATAAATAAAATGAATTGGTGGACTCAAGGGTAATACAAATTTAACTATAATTTTAACATTTATGCATTTATTTTGATTGCTAGTAACACATACATTTAGGAAGTACTTAAAACTCTTGTCCTACAATTAATACTATTACTACTAGTAATAATAATAGTAGTAGTAGTAGTAGTAGTAGTAGTAATATTACAAGAGTTATCTAGTACTAGTCTGTTTGACATGAAAATAATAAGAAAAAAACAAATAAGAAAAATATTATTGGTCGATCGATACTTTGTCGGTTCAGTATTGAATTTAAGGTTTGAGTTTGGAATCGATCCAGTCACGGAAAGCAGCAACTTCGGTATAAACTCCTGGAAATCCTTTCTTCGCACATCCGTTACCCCAAGATACGATACCAGCCAATCGACCTTCGATAGCAAGAGGACCACCAGAGTCACCTTGGCAAGCGTCTTTGCCACCTTGTGGATAAGCGGCACAGATTTGTCCAGCTGGAACACCGCCGAATGAAGAATAAGCTTCATTGCAGTCTACTTTAGAAATCATTGGAATATTGACGATCTTAAGAGTTTCCGAAGTTGAACCCCCTTGATAGATTGCACCCCAACCAGTGATCGTAGCTTTTACTCCAGGAACAGATTCTTCGTTAAACTCGAACAAGGAAATTGGCTGACGTTTTGCATCCAATTCGAATGGGGTTGCTACACGAATTAAGGCAACGTCGTTTTCTGGAATACCATTCATGTTGGTCCTGTAGTTCTCGTGTCTGATGATCTCTGCTACCTGTTAAATTCATATTAAGTTTAAAAGATGTCAAATGTCTATCGTGAAGAAATATTGATTGATTAAGTTTCTCTTTTCATGTTTTTGATAAACATACCTTGTGTTGACTACCTCCTGAACTCTTTGTGGTTGTTCCAGCACGTACAACCATCGAGTCCGCCGAATATATTATACAATGTCCTGCGGTAAGCACCCAGTCTTTAGCAATGATGCTACCACCGCAAAAACCAAAACCGTATGCTTGTAGAGAAACTTGGTAAGGTACTTCTTCGATTTCAACATCTTCACCACCGACGATACGACCGTTTGGAGTGTAAGGATTTAAAGCTAGCTGCCTTGGAATAGGATCCGCTATAACATTTGATAAAACGTTCTAATAATGCTGTCAATAATTATTGTCCAACAAGATATTTAAATAGCTAATATCGATACTATAATTCTAAATGTTGATATCTTTTGATATATTTTTTCTATACTCACCAGCTGCTACTGCAATGATGCAAATTAATGTTAATTGAGCGTACATGTTGACTCGTGTGGTGTGTTTGATGTTCTCTGTATCATCTGACGAGTATTTATATGAAACTGTAATATGCATTATGACGATATTCAAAGAAGGATTATAATAGAATCTGTCAAGTGATTTTTGATAAAATCGATAAGTCTTTAATATTTTGTATTATACGAACTTGATCCATTCATTTACAAATACGATACAAATCCCCAAGTATCTTGGTATATTGATAAGAATTTTTTGTCTTCGGGTTTTGTCTCATCAATCGATAATATCAATCATAATTCTTTTGTTGGAAGAATTCTCTGTCGTTGATTTTGATAGCGGTTGATCATGATAAATAAGACTTTGAATCACTTTCGTTGTCGATCGAATCATAAAATCAAAATCTGTTTTCAAGACCTTCCACAATATCGAAAGCGATTTATATATACCATACTTTTTATTTTCTTCGAGGTTTCCATTGTATTGACTGCACCAAATTTTATTAACATAAAAAAAAATGAGATAAATCATCCAGGATTAAATATGTCAATGTTTTATCATTTCTATATTTAATTATTCGTTTGGATTTTAGTCTTTGTTCATCTATCTTTTATATGTTTAAATAATAACAAAATAAGTGTACATCGATGATTAATTGTTTTTTATTTAAAAATATTGTACATGCTAATGAATATTTTACATAGATGAATTTGAAGATATAAAATAAAACGATAAATAAAGTATATTCTTAAATTTTCCATTAATAATTGAATACAAATTTAAATGCATATATCGAATGTTAGAATTTCTGGTCAGGTTTCATGGATAATTCATCGAATAGAACGTGTGGCTTCTTGGAGAGAGATTAGCAATAGTGGTTTCGTATTTAGCTTGGTCATTTAACCGGAACGATTTACGCACGAGTCTTTGTTTACATACGTTAGCGAGGGAGACACGGATTCGAATATAGATAGCTAGATAGTTAGATAGATAGGTAGTAGTTTAATAGTGATTCGTAAGTGTGTGTGTTTCTTGCAATTAGACTATGTTCTATGTATATTTCACTCGTTTATTCAAACGAGAACGTCGATCTTCGTCTTCTCATTGGATCGATTGCTCTTATTTAAACTTATCTGTTTAAGTAATACAGATGTGTCAGTCGAATAGATGTAAACTAATGGATAAAGTAAGAAATCCTATAATTCAAGATTGGTTATCTTAAAGATCCAGTCGTGATATTTTGAAACTTCGGTGTAGACACCGGGATATTCTTTTAAAGCACAACCATTACCCCAAGAAACTATACCAGCTTGACGACCACCTATGGTCAATGGTCCACCAGAGTCACCTTGGCAAGCATCTTTACCACCTTCCGGATAAGCCGCACAGATTTGATTTATCATTATACCACCGAATAATTTTCTATATGCTTTATGACAATCGACTTTATCTATGATAGGAACTGACACTGTTTGCAGGATTTCTGGAGTACCATATTGTGTTCTACCCCAACCTGTGATTATTGCTAAGCTTCCTGGTTCGACATTTTCATCCTTAGAAAATAATGTCACAGGCCTCTGTTTTTCATTTTCTTCAATGGGCTTGGATAAACGTATAAGGGCAATGTCGTGTATTGGTACACCGAGAGAATTAGATTTGAAATCTTCGTGTTGGTATATTCTTGATACAGAATAGATGCTACCATCTGAATCAGATTTGTCCGATCCAATACGAACTGTGTAAAAGAATAAGGGTTTCCCAGCACAGTGTCCAGCCGTGAGAATCCATTCCTTACTGATTATGCTACCACCACAATAATGGGACCCTAGTATTTGAACACTAACTTGATAAGGTGCCTCTGTAATGTTCGTATTTTCACCACCAACTATACGTCCTTCTGGGAAAATTCGGTCTGTTATTTTTGGCAAGTCGCTTGGTGGTGCAGCTGTAAGAAATTATTAGAAATTTCTTAGAATTTTTTCTTTATTGGATTTGATTATTCTATTCTAAACAATTTTTTTTCTATTCTATAGTTTGAAGTTCGATTATGAGTCTGTTAATCATTTAAGAGATATAAAGAATTCGTGTCGGAGAGAGAGGTCGGCTGGCTTATCAAATAACAGAAATAAATCTTTCAGATCGCGATAAGTTCTTTTCACAATCCCAACTAGTTTCGTTTTACTTTCGTAACCGCAGATCAAAGTAGATCATTCATTCTTTATTTCTCTATCTATCTTTATAAACTCTACTTAAATTTGTTGGAGTAGACGATTAAGGTAATATTTTCACGTAATATTTATTTCGAAAATTTCCAACTATATTTTATTGTAAAAATTAAAAACTCTAATACTTTATATTTCATTTTAATCAATTTTTGTATTTTTTTGTTGTAAATATCAATCTTCTTCTAAATATTTTTTCTTTTATCTGATAGATATGTTAGGTTTTCAAATTGGATATAATTATCGTTTATATTGAATTTCATTAAAATATTGGTTTTAAAATAGAGGTTTACCTAAAGCTGATAATATCAGAATGTTGATAACGACGAATAAGGTTTTCTTCATCTTCTCTAATCTTATTTGCCTTGTACAACTTCGCAATATAATCTGATAGTTAAACGTTAGTGCGTCGTGCATTTATACTCCGAAAAATCACTGCTCTGTTATTTAATACCTCCTATATATCCCACTATTCCTCTCTAAATTCTTTAAACTCTTAAACTAATCAGACCTACTAAATCATTGTTCGCGATTTCTTTTTCTTATTTCCCTTAAGTGTTTTATCTTTTATCTAATTTATATTTCTTTTTTTCGATTCATGTTTATCGATAATACGGATAAAGTTTCGTGTACGTAGTATCGTCCCGTATTAATTATCTATTTTAAAACTATTTATATCTAATGAATTGCAACATTGATCAAATATTTTAAGTAAATTTTTCTGAAATTTTGTACGACCGAAGGAAAATATTAATATATGGGGCATTTCACGTGAAGCGGACAACGAAAAAAATGTGAGGTCGCGGATTTTGTTCATAATTAGCTTGATTGTACTTCTATGGGACCTCAATAATTGTACATCTTTTTTTTTTTACCTTAGTTACCAATTTATGGGGCTTTAAAGAATTGACAAAATATGAGGAATAGATTTTTCGAATACTATTAAAAGAGTCAATCTAATGGATTATATAAGAAATAAATCGTGTTTATTAGAGAATATAAATTAATTTTCTTGGAAGTAAATAAAAATTTGAAATTGAACTTTTTTTTGTCTCGTAAACCGGAAGTTAAAATTAAAAAT